CAGGCTGGAGACCCAGCAGAGCTCTTCTCCTGCCACAGGCCTAGCCTCATAGCAGGGAACCTGCAGAGGGGGCCCTTTGTTCCTCTGGCTAGAACCTGTGGAATAAGGCCCTGCTGCACATGTGCTCACGCTCTGTGCACTGCCCCCACAGCTCCCACCTCCCACCATCCGGAAGCTGGATAGAGTCCAGTCATTTTCCCTAACTTCTTTGGACACATCTTTAAACAGACTAACGTGGCTATTTTCCAGTTGCCCCAGAGATGCACTTCCCCTTCTGCAGCTTCTCAGAGGCCAGGGTGCCTGCCTCAAGCACAGCACTCACAGGTGCTCCTGCCTTCGGAGTTCCAGCTGGGTTTGCTGAGCGGAGGCGCAGGCAGGGCCTGGAAGGGGCAAGGCAGGCTGCGGCCATTGCCACGCTCCTAACTGGCTGTCCCCACATGGGGGGTCACAGGTCTCTAAGGCCAGCCCCTCTTTCCCCTTATCTGTGGGCCTGACGGTGGTGGGGCCAGCTCAGGAGAAGGGTCCACCTCCTGTGAGTTCCTTTTGTATGTCCAGACCTTTGCAAACAGTCCCTAACTGGAGCTGATCTCACAGACCCGGTGTCCTCAAGGCAGGGGACAGTGCTGACGTCTACAGGCGACAAGGCTGATACGACATCTTGCTAGGGCCCAAGGAGCTGCTCGTCTCTCATGCGGAGACGCAGAAGCCGTCTGCATGCTCCACAGCTGTCTGTGATCAAACCACGCCCTCCCTTCCTGGACGGAGGCGGCAGGTCTCCTCCCTGGGGAGTTCAGGCCCTGGGCCTTCGGCAGCTCTTGCTGCCCCTGGTCAAGCCGCTCGATCCTTTTCTCTTCTGCTCTTGAGGGTGAGGGTGAGTCCATCGGTTTCGTGAGTTGCCTCGTGTGCTAAACCAGCCACTCATTTGCTGAGTTTGTGACCACGAATAAGCAGGCTCGTGGGACCCTGGGACTTCCACCCCAACATCCATCTGCTCCCCTGGGAGTGCCTTCCTCTGCCCCTTCTTCTGGCCGGAAGGAGGCCACCTCCCACTCCCCATCCAGGTTCAGAGACGTCGCCTGTCCCCCTGGTGGCCCTTCCACTCCACAGGAGTGGGATAGGTGTCCCCTCAGGGGGTCCCAACATGCTGTGCACACCCTGTCATTGTCCCTATGTTCTATTTTAATTGCTGCCATGTCTGCTATGTGATGAACTGTGAAGGAGACTGAAATAATAGGGTCACGGGTTGCACTGTGTCCCCACAAAGACATGTTGCTGTCCTGACCTCGGTCCCTGTGAATGTGACCTTAAAATTGGAAATGGCTTCTTTGCAAATGTAACCAAGTTAGGCTGAGGTCATACTGCACTGAGGCAGGTCCTAATTCAACACGACAGTGTCCTTATGAGAAGAGGGAGACGGACACACAGACAGGAGAGAAGGTCACATGAGACTATGTCTCATGGAGGCAGCGTGATGACCTCTGGGGGACAGAGCTGGAAATGCTGCCACAAGTCTGGGGATGCCCACGGGCCAGACAGGCCCCAGAAAACTAGATGCCAGGCGAGGCCAGGAGGGATCCCCCCCCCTTTGGGTTTTGGAGTGAGTGTGGCCTCGTGGGCACCTTGGTATTGGACTGCCAGCCTCAAGAACCATGAGACTGGTGCTTCTGGGGATTTATACGCCACTCAGCTTGCAGGGTTTGTTACTGCAGCCCGAAGACGCTGACCCAGACAGTGCCCTCAGCAGTCTGCCCAGTGCCTGAAATGCGCAGATTCACGCTGAGCTGAAGTGAACAGTCAGTCATTTATAGAGATGTTAAATGGGTGTTCTGCAAAAGCTTTCTCTCCGTCTTCCTCATCCATAATCCACTCAGGTGCCCGAGGAAGCCGGAGCCTCCCTTTTGCCACCCTGTGTCGGCATGAAGTGGCTCAGCACACAGCCGGGGGTGGGGCGCTCCGTCTGCGGAGGCCTAGGTCGGGTTCCTCTTGTCAGGAGCCCAGTTGCTGGCTGGCCGCTCCTACCTACTGGTCACCTTGCACCCTGCAGAGGCCACGGTGCCTTTCACTGAAGGGACAGTTGCTGCTCATTGTGGGGGACCTGCTCTCCCCAGGATCACCCTGTGGCAGGTGAGATGCAGATGCAGATCTGCCCGGAGGGGTAAGGTGCTGCCTCGCCCATGAGAATGGGGAGCTGATGTTCCCCCAGGACATGCTGGGAAGAGAGACACAGTGGGGATTCAAATGGACTGTTTCCACAGCTACACCCTGTCCTGCCCACATGGCATCTGTTTGCAAGTGTCTATGACTTTGTGGGAGAAACTTCCCCCTTTTCTGTTCAACTGGACCTCCCAAGGGACTGTAAACGGATGGCTGGGAGGCTCCCTGGCCTCAGGTCCTTTTCTGACATCGGGTGTGCAGCCTGGCCAGGAGCCCTCTGCCCTCACATTCAAGGTGATACAAGGTACAGGAGGAGAACCCCGCCTCCCGGTCCTACGCTGCCCGCTCTCCTTGGGCCAGTACCCTAGGGGTGCCACTGGGAGAAGAGCGGCTTTGCGTTTCCAGAAACTGGGGTCAAGCACGGTGCAAAACGAGCCTCACGCCCTCCCCAGACAACACATCCTTGTCTGTTTCCTCCCTCTCGTCCCTGAGCCACTTGGACGCTTTTTAATTGGTGTCAAAAGTGACCCATACTGGAGAGCTTTTAACTTTTACAAATAGAAAACTATGTATTTGATTATCATTATATGTATGTATTAGACATGTTTTTCAATTAAATATGATAATTATATAATTCAGGCTACACAAAGGTTTGCTTTTATGTTCATACGTATTTTAGAAAAACCAAAAATCTACATATTTTACAACTGCCTGTAACCAAAATAACATATTTCAAAGGAATGCCCTATCACACATAACAAAGCCTTTTAACCCTTTCAATTCCTCCACGACCACATCAGCAAGACAGCAGCCTTTACGTACAGGTGAAGATTCATCATTAGCCATTCCTGACAAAATATCAATCCTGACAGGAGTCTATCCTGCAGGAGGCAGAGTTCTGGGTCAATGGGAATCACCTGTAATTACCATATATTTCAATTTCAAAGGTATAAGGACAATGATATAAGGACAAGTTCTATGCTTATCTATTCAATTCAAGATTTTAAAATATGTATTTAAAAAACACACATTCATAGGAAAAACACATATGCATTCACTGCAAAAAGTGCCAAGGCAAATCTAACCTAAACGAGTGACAACGGTCATCTCTGGACTGTGGTTTAAAGGTGCCTTCAACAGGATCTTTACACTTTTCTTTTTTTCCATAAGTTTTCAATAATCAGTATCAGTTTCTCTTAGAGCAAAAATAAAAACAAAACCTGAGCAACACAAAGTCTGAAGTGCCTGACGGTCTTGTTTGCTCGGAGCCCTGACCGTCAGTCCCAGGACTGCTGCCCCGAGCGGCAGTGAGCTCCTGCCTACGTACCATAGAGATGAACATGCCCACCTCAGATTTTTGTTGTGAGGATTCAAAGAGAAGATATTTGCAAATTCTCAGCTGAGGCCCCAGAGCTGGTAGGAGCTGAGCGATTACACGTGGTTCCTCCTCAGCAGGCACTCATCTCCTCCGCCTGAAGCTGGAGCCACGTCGCTTCCTCCGTTTATTGGTAAAATGTGGACAGGGGCGATTTGCATCAGCGCCATGGGGAGACCTCAGTAAAAGTGCATTGACTGCATTAGGATTCTGGGGAACCTACAGCTTTAGCAAACATTACTGGAGAGCCATGGCTATATTTTGAAAATAACTGAGATCCACTGAGAAGCCCAGTTCTTGAGCTGGTTGATGCACATTACAGGTGACCCCACCCACGAAAAGGAAGCAGTTTCCAATGATGCCGAAGGGCTGCTGAGAGGCAGCAGCACATGTGCATTGTGGAGAGACATATTCTGGAAAGGCAATGAAACGGCATCTAGCATTTACTGCGGACAAGCGAGGCCCTTTTTATTCAGATGGGCGAGTCGCTCAGTGCCCGTGATCATCCCTTCAGCAATGACCTGCTTGCATTCCTGCAGGGACACTGCCTGGTGCTCCTCCCGCCTCACGTGCCTCGTTTCTGCCCAGGGCTCTGTGTGGCCCTGGAGAGGGCTCTGTGGCTGTGGTGGCCTTGAGGACTCCATGAGCCTTGACAGGCCTCTACTTTTCTGCTTCATTTTATGATTCTGCTGGTGTTTCAGAAGGCCAGTGCTTGACACAGACTAACAACAAAAATGTGTGTGCGTGGCAATTAGTGACCTTCACAGTGGAGGGAGGGCTGGCATTGCTGTAGTTTTGAATGACTATGACACAGGTTTGTGCTTGGAGGAGCTAGCTTTCAGAACAAATCAGTGATCATACGCTGTTGCTAAACCCCATTACAATGGGCTCTTCCGATGCCCTTCTCTGCTTGAGAGAGACGTGGAAAGACATTTATGAGATTGATGGGAAGATGGAAATAGCTAACTTTTCTGTGAGGCATCTACTGGGTAACTGGTTATAGCTCCTCCAATACGTGTTTGTGTCTAACGTTCAATTCTAGGAGGTAGGAACTGCTATTCTCACTTCACTGATGAGCAGAAGCCCAGAGAGAATCTGGGGTCACTCTGTTCTTGGGGCCATGAATCATCTCCCCACTTCCTGTCAGGGATTCCCATTGACATGGAGCTTCATTTTCTTGTTCATCTGCTTGTTCCCCTTTTCTCTGTTTTTAAGTTTTAAGAGACAGCATATCTGTGGCCGAGTTCTACAGAAACTGTTTGGTAGTTAATTCTTGGTTTGGAGGGACGTCATCAAGGCCATTAGCAAGTTCTCTACTGTCATGAAAATAACCTGGCTCCTAATTTGATTGTTAAATACTGTTTTCCCCTCCCTTTAAACTTCTAGTGACACGTGTCCCCTTGAGGAGGCCCTGCCTTGCCGGGCACTGTCCACGGCCAGGTTAGGCAAGAGCAGGAATCCAGCCCCTTACCTGTGACATCGCAGTACACCTGGAGAGGTCCCAGCGGCCCGCTGCCGTCCGAGTCGATGTGGAAGAAGCCAGCCGTGTGCCCTTGGTGCCTGTACACCTCGCAGGACTGCTCGTAGAGGGCTGGAGAGACACAGAACAGGAGACAGGAAGCTTTCCTTGGCTCTGCATGTAGCTGCGGAGGGACCAGAGACTCCTGCTTGTATTTACTTCCAAGGCTGATTTCTCTCCCTTCCCCTAGGGCCGTAACTTTGCCCCCAAACCACAACAGACCAGTGTCCCAGTACTTGACACAGTCATGCCCCCTGCCCATCCTCGCAAGATTCTTCTAAATGGCTCAGAGGCTACAGCCTCCAAAAAGAGCCCCCTTGCCTCCTCTTGGCCCTTCCCTACACGGACACGTGTCCGTGGTGTCCACACGTATGCTGACTTGGGGTCATTCCACATGGTCCTGTCTCCCCAGTGGTCACAGAACTGTAAGAGCAGGGAACATGTGCTGTCCGATGCTACGTTCCAGCACAGTGCCATGCTCACAGCAAGGGTTCAGCACTGTTTGGTTATGGGGATGAAAAAGTGCACGAATATATGGCCACGACTTTTTATTAACTAAAGTAAATGACTGTATCTTATCTCTATACACCCAGAGCACAGCAGCTAACATACGGTAGGCGCCCCATCAAGTACAGTCCACTCTGACTTAACAAGCATCTTCCGAGCTCCTAGCATGTGTCAGCAGTGCAGGGGTGACCAGATGTCAGACCGTGAATGAGGCCATCGGTCTGTCCCTTGCAAAGCTCACGGCCTGGCTTTAGCCACAAAGTCTTTATGGCTCGTAGGCAGACCCAGGTGCCCTGAGATAGTGCTCTCTGGCTGATCTGCAGGTATGAGAAATACATAAGCCTCCTGACACCAGCTTGAATGAGCTGGGCCGGGTATAAAGGAGGCATCAGCTGTCTCACGCGTGAGAATGCAGAACATGGTCTGATCTTGAGACAAAAGGGTGCCACTCGGAACAGCAGGTACACATCCAGTTATGTCACCCTCCCCCGCTTAAAATGCTTCCGTGGCTCCCAACAGGTTTGCAGACGTGGCACCAGATCCTCACCTTGGCCAGCATGCCCATGACGAATGCCCCATCCAGGGGGGACGAAGCTGTAGTTTGTCATGATCAAGCGTGAGGGGCACCTCAAATAACTCACTACCAGGCCTAGAGCTCCAGAGGGTTTGACTTTTTATAAATTAGAGAGAATTCAAGGTTATCCTCGGAGCCAAGCAATCCTCTCCTGCAGCCGTACACACTTTCTGGAGCGGAGTCAGTCTGTACCCAGGGACTGAGCACGGCTTTCAGCTCATTCTGCCCCGACTTGGGTATGTGCTACGCATATGGAAGTCGGCTCCGTGTGCCCTGCCCACTCCACTGCCTGACGCCTCACACGCGCCCAGGGTGATCCATGGAAAGGAGTCGCTGCTGACCTCACAGGGGAAGATCACCCAGGCAGCTTGTGGGGGTCACCCTGGAATCAGACAGGGTGGCTGTGCACCACAGCGCTCCTCGGAGCCCTGTGGGGGCTTGGTGGCAGTACTTCCCCCACGCTCAGCAACCTCTGAGGCTGCTCCTCGGATCCACGCTCCCCGGCATTCACACCCTGATCACAGGTTCACGCCCTCTCTAGAGTGTGGGCTGCAAGCGTGGACCTGCTCCTAAGAGAACAGGACCAAAGTGAGGGATGTCACTTCCAAGACTAGGTCACTGCAAGGCTGAGGCTTCCACCTGGGGGGGAGGTAGTGCTCCTGGACTCCTCACTCCAGGACAAGCCCACTGCTGTGTCCCAGCAGCCCTGCAGAGAGGCCCGTGTGCAGGCTTGGAGCTTGGAGGCTGGCCACTGAGTGAGCCCTAAAGAAGTCTCCACAGTTAAACTCACAGGACCCCGGCCCTGGCTGACATCCTTACTGAAGCTCAGGAGAGACGGAGCCAGAACCACCCAGCTAGGCTGCTCCAGACACAGAGAAACTACGATGGGATAGTGCCCATCATTTCCAGATGCTATAATTCATTGTGCAGAAATAGCTGGCTGACAAATTCTCGAAGCACTCATTTTCTCATGTGGCCATAGGTATTAAAAAAGCTTATCTCAGGCAATAGTGAGGATTCAGAACATACCTGTGTACCGTATTAGGCACAGTGCTTGCTGCAGAGCACGTCCTTGGTAAGCAGTAACTGTTATCACCGCTGCTGTTATTATTACCTTGTTCATGCCACATCGCCTCTGTCAGTTTTTTCTCTACTTGTTTCTTTTTTTGTAAGTTTTTGTAATGAATCGCAAGGCTTGTTATGAAAAACCTATAGGCCCTACCTCCCTTCTGTGCGAGGGTGATGCTTTTTAATTTAATTCTTAGTTCACTTTGGGGTACCTACTATATCTGGCGGGCATATCCACATCTTGAGTGTTGCTGTTCCAGCTTGTCCATCCCTCACCAATGCAGAAGGGGAGGATGTAGGTTTCCACCATTCCCCCACTCGGAGAACTTCCCGCCCAGCACACGTCCAATTGGATTGTAATTTCAGTCAGATCATGATTATGTTTACAGTGATAGGACAGCACACGTGCTATTCGCCGATACCAAACTTTATAATGTGATTACTTTTCTTTCCGAAATAAACAGATTTCTTGCAATTAATAATCACCCTGTTCCCTCATTTGTCTAATTTTCTATGCGTATATCACCAAGTTAACTCTGAATTCATTAACACTTCTCTAAAATATCTTCCCAAATATTCAGGTAAAATCTCATATAAATGATACCTGTTGGGAGAGAGAGAAAGAATGGGGGAGGGGATCAGGATGTCAGCTGGTCTGGGTATTTGTATTTTTAACTTTGAAACAATACAGATGTTTTAAATTATTAAACACAACATTATATCTAATAGAAGAAGAGCAATTCCTAAACATTGAAAGGAAATTAAACCAAATTAATTTAACTAGGAATTCTTTCAGTGATATTAAAATTCAGTATTTTCTTTTTAACTTCTTAAAATAGAGAATTTCAGATATGTGCAGAGGATAGAGAGTAATAAAATGGACCCGATGTTACTACAGCAAGAAACACCAAATTATCGATACTTGGCTAATCTCGGTTACCCTTGACGGGCGACAAAATCCTTCACGAGTGACTTAAAATGACAGTCGTTCCCTGACTGTGCAGGTCAGCAGTTCAGGCCTAGCTGGGTGGCCCTGTCCAGCCCAGGGGGTCTTGCGGGGGCTGCCCATTCCTCCAGGCAGCTGCAGGTCCTGGCGCTTGCAGACCCTGCTGGCATGCTTAGGTTCCCCCGCTGTGGGGTCTCATCCCCTCGCCTTGAATGACTTCCTTGTCCAAGGCACCATGGAAGCAAGCGCCTGTCAGGCGTCTGGCTGAAGCCCGGAACTGAGCCAGCCAGGCCCCAAGCAGAGCCCGTCGAGGACCTAACAGGAAGTGGGCTGTAGGACAGAAGCAGACTGTTGGCTTCATGGCGCAGGGTAACGATGAGGGTAAGGTGAGCCTCTAAGAGGTTTTGTGTTGCTAAGACACTGCGATTTGGGGCTGCTCACTAACTCAGGTAGCCTACCATTCCCAATGTGCTTTCTCCTTAAACTTTGGTCCATCGACTGGGGAGTCTCTGAGGGCAAAGCCTGGATATATATAGATACTGTAAATAAGCTCATAAAACGTAAGGACTTTGTTTAAAGACACACCAGCCAGTAAATGTTTGATCTAATTCTATAACCCCTTTTCCATTTATTAGCAGGAATACTTAATAAAAATAAACATCTCTCATCAATTATTTGTGTTCCCTAAACTACAAGATTGTATGGGAAAAGCTTTCTCTTTCATGCATTGATTTCAAAACACTGAAGATGTTCCCTAGATTCTTCTAAATGTGGCCAATGAGAATATTTTTAATTTTGTTATGAATTCATAAGTTTAGACATATTTGAAATTAAAACAGTAATTTGACTTGTAGGAAACAATAGGATATACCTATCAGAAAAAGAGAAAACATAATTAAAAAATACATTAAATAGACTTATTTTTAAATAATGTTATTAGTGATTTCTTAAGTTGCTATACATATATTACAAGAAAAAGCTAATAACTAATTATGTTTTTGGCAACAGAAACCAAAGTTTTTACCACAACAGATAGACTGTAAAGTGTAAAAAAATTATAGAAAGTTATTCCATCTTAATTTGAGTTGGTCTTATCAGTATGAACTCATTACTTAATATTTTAATGACATATTTCCATGATTGGACTTCTGAGATGCTAGGCGCACCCCAGTGCATGGACAGGGGTCTCCACGGTTGCCCACTAGAAAGAAAGGTTTTGCTGAGTCTATGTTTGGAGCCTACGGATGCAATTAGAATGCTTTGTTTTGCCTGAAAATAAGAAAGCTATCAAAAATTGGAGTTATGTCAAAATGACACATGAGCCAATATGATAGAACAATCTGGGTATCAAAACAACTGGTCAGTGTGATACATTTATATATGTAAATATATACAGTATACTAGTTCACTGTCTAAATGTATGTGTATATATATGTATGTATCTGTGCATCTTCTATCATCTACCTGTTTAAGGCCACTGGTCACCTCTGCAGGTTGCTAGGAAATGGAATCATACTCTGAAAATTGGCAAGAATTAGCTCATATTCTGTCTTTTTAGTATGGACTGTATTTGATGGTGACCTAATATTCCATGAAAAATATAACTGGATGGGGGACTTTGTAGTGCACAGATTAAGTTAAAAATATCCAAACTCATGGATCAATCTCAGCAACCCCCAAAGTGACTGTTCAGGTTCCTATAATGTGATGTGTTAAGAAAAACAGCACTGCCTACCACTTGCCTGGCATTTGAAGCGGAATCTAATTAAGCCCTGAGATTTACACACTAAATTACCATACAAGGCCAAGAAACATGCTTCCCGACACTCTAAGGACACAATTAAGTCCATAACACGGGAACATCTCACTCAGTTTCTTCAACAAATAAATGCCAAAAAGGGACAGGGATTCAGGAGGCATATCAAACACTATGTGTGGACATCGGATCCTGATTCAGATAAAGCAACACAGAGAAAT